ACAACTTGATGTTGATATAATTAAAACTAAAGGAAGCTCTTACCTCAGGATGGAGGCTTTACATAAGAGATGGCTACAAGTTAATCCTATAGCATCATGGAGAGATGTCATTAATGCTTTGAAACAATGTAAAGAGAATGAACTAGCTAGAACTATTGAAGACAAAGTGACAGATCCCACAGCTGGAAGAAGTACTAATGATGATATGGGAGTCAGTACCAGTAATGCTAATCCTAGTCCTATAACAGGTAAAAATACACTTAATACAACACTTCTTAACTGATACACTACTGCAGGTAATCCAAAGGATATATTAAGGACTCATTCTGTTAAACTCACTGACGCTATTACTACTAACCTTTACAGAGTAGCTGATGCACTGTATGCTGAAGGACTGATACCACTAGATACTAAAGAGAATATACAAACAGTAACAGGAATATCTGATTATAGGAAATCAAGTCAATTAGTGTCTGTGATACAACGACAGTTGGAATCCTCTCTTAATCCAGAGCAGTATCTTATTGATATATGTCATGTATTAATAAACCAACAACATCGTACACTAACAGATATTGCTACCTCTATACTACACCAGTTAGGTGAGTGTGTGTGTACATTATCAGTGATCAATTTAGTCATTATATCTCAATACATTAGGTCAGTCAATACCTGATAATGTCACATCCATTAGTTCAATACCTGATGATGTTCAAGGATATGCTGACAATTTGAAAAAACACTACAAACACCAACCTATTGTTGCTACAGACTGGCCACCAAGAATTGGAAAAAATTTCTTTGGAAGACTAGCACTCATAGAAAAAAAAGACTCCAGCACACAAGCAAAATCAGCTTGGCATCTGCTAAGAGGACAAGTTGATAAAATAGTAAAACTAACTGAAAACAAAGAGATAAGTGTTGAAGATGTCCTCCAACCCACAGATAGTTCTCTGTCTCTCAGAGTAGTAATAGATGGTCCTCCTGGCATTGGCAAGACAACATTCTGTCGTAAACTGTTAAATATGTGGTCTAATGGAACACTTGTACACCAACAGTATGACTTGGTACTTTACTGTCCTTTAAGGAATAGCAAAATAGCTACAGCTACTACACTAGCTGACCTGTTTGAGTATAAAAGTTTTAAAGTTTCAAAAGTAGTTGATTGGTTGTCAAATAGAGATGGAGAAGGATTACTAATAATATTTGATGGTTGGGATGAACTAAGTGAACAACTCAGACAGTCTTCATTAGCTGCAAGTATCATTCATAGAAAGGAGTTAGACCAGTGTTCAGTAATTGTTACCTCTCGTAGCTATGCCTCCTCTTCACTTTTGAAAGTGGATACTCTCAGTAGACATGTTCAGGTCATTGGGTTTTCTAAGGAAGAAATATCAACAGTAATTATACAAACACTTCAAAAAGATACAAAACTAGCACAAGAACTCATTGATAAAAAAAGAGAAGATGATAAAAATCGCAAACCTTTTACAACTACTCAAAGCAGTGAAGACTCTCAACTAGCAGTGAAACTCATTAATGATCTTAAAGTACGAAATGATGTCCAATCATTGTGTTATGTACCACTAGTCTGTTCCATGGTCATCTTAGTTTATAAGGAAGAAGGACACTTAGCAACAACACTCACTCAACTGTATGAGAACTTTATCCTACAAACTATCAGAAGGCATGTGGAAATAAAACCAAGACATGACATTAACCCATATACTTTAGGTAGTCTTTCTTCATTACCATCACAATTAGCTAAACCTTTACAAGAGTTGTGTCAATTAGCTTATACTAACCTGGCTGATACAAGAATGACATTCTCTTCACATCAACTACAGTCACGGAGTGAGGCAGTCAAGGAAGACTATCTTGGATTGATGACAACATTTATGGAATATTCTAAAAAAATGTATCAGTTCCTTCACTTGAGTATACAGGAATTTCTAGCAGCATGGTGGATAGCTAAGCATGAGAAGAAGACAGAGGAAGTGTTTAAGGATCACTTTGATGATGATCACTTTCGAATGTGTCTGAGGTTTGTAGCAGGTCTAACTCACCTTGAACATGAGAGCTATCAACAGTATTTGAATATACAACAACTTGACTTACAGTGTAAGAGAGAACCATTGTTTGGATTTGAGACTTGTCATCTCTCCTACTTCTGTCAAAATCCTGAGATTAAAATAAAGCGTAATGCAATGATGAATTATGATCATATCGACTCTGATGATTTTGACAATGTTCCTATTCTTCTTTTTCAACTCCTGTATGAATCACAGAACACAACATTATGTCAAGTATTAGCACAATCCATCAACAACCACTCGCTGTGTCTGCATGATGAAAGAATATCATTATTATTGTTTGACTGGTTGTGTCTCAGTTATTGTATAAACAATTCCAACACAACATGGAATCACTTGCACCTGGGGCTTGTACTTAACCAGTCACAATCAGTCTTCACTGCCGGACTAACCAATAACTCACTACAGACCCAGTGTAAGAGACTAGAGGTAGAGTTGAGTGGACCCACTGATGAATTAATACACAAATTATTACAATCATCACTTCTATACAATATTCAGGAGTGCTACTGTGATTTATCACTTGGTCAATATGTTCCCTGCCTTGTATTGTTACAGTTCCTCAATCTTCCTCAATTGAAGATACTGCACTTAATAATGGTCCAGCCTACTATAGCAACAGTTGACAATACATACTACACAGACAAGTGCACTGAACTTGAGAAATGTATAGAAATGAAATCAACACTACAAGAAATGAAGATTAAGTATTATGGAGAGAATGAAATAACAAGTACCATTATCAGTGTCATTAGAGGAGTAACAAGAAATAAAACAATAACATCATTAACAATAGATGTTATTGTTCACAACTATAATTATAAAGATCCTCCTCCTCCTGATGGAGTAATAGAGCAGTTACTAAAAGACAACAACACATTACAAGCTCTTTCACTGGACATACCGGATAGACTCCTACCATCATCACTGAATATAGTAGAGGTGAACGCACCACTGACTGCTCTAGAGATAAGAGGAGAATGGCAGAGTAGTAAACTGATGACATCAATCCTTCCACATATCAAAGGATTACACTGTCTGATACTACCTGGTCCAAACCCACCACACCTTCTATTTCTCTCTCATCCCAGTCTACATACACTTACTTTACCACTAGACACAGCTGAGAGTGCTATTGAACTATTTACTATTCTACAAACCAACACTACACTTAAAGCTCTGAGTGTGAAGATAGAGGAGAGAGTATATACCAGCAGTATGGGTACTAGTCTACAAGACATGCTAACACAAAACCAAACACTAAAATACCTTGAGATTGATAATGACTGGTACAGTGGCATTCCCAGCTCATTCCTGTCCTTCCTAACAACTGGTCTCAGACA